CGAGGCCTCGCGCCGCACCCCCAGCACCCGGTAAAGGTCGGCGGTACCGAACACCTGCTCGCACTGCTCCAGCAGCCCCATGGCCGGCAGAGGCGCGGGGCCAGCGGCGGACTCCGCGAAAACAGTGGGTTCCAGCAGCCCCGGCTAGTTCCGAACTGCTGCCTTTTCCCGCGCAAAAAGCCCAGGGCGCCTGCGTCACAAGAGCCGCAGGAAAGGGCGTGGTCACGACACCGCACTTTACGGCTGCTGTAAAATGGGGCGTGGAAAGCCCAGCGTCTACGTGCCGACGGGCGTAGTAGAGCAGGCGTAAGCGGAAGTAGCGCGCGAGCCGCCACGCCCTCTCCGCAGCGACACCACTCCCCTCACTCTAGACACCTGGCACTTCATCGCAGAATCTTTTCCTTTCTTTCTTTAAAATATATTTTATTGGGTTTTTTTTACAGAGAGGAAGGGAGAGGGATAGAGAGTTAGAAACACCGATGAGAGAGAAACATCGATCAGCTGCCTCCTGCACACCCCCTACTGGGAATGTGCCCGCAACCAAGGTACATGCCCTTGACCGGAATCGAACCTGGGACCCTTCAGTCCGCAGGCAGACGCTCTATCCACTGAGCCAGACCGGTCAGGGCGAGGAATCTTTTTCAATACGTGAAAGTCCGTATTAGGTTGAACCTATATGCTGTTTGTTTTTTAGCAAAAAAAACAGCACAGCATCGGCATTTGGCAATTTCACATGGTTCATACACATGTATTTTTTCGAAGAACAGTAATTTTTTCAAAGACGGTACTGACAGTACATAGAGCTCTAAGGCCCAAATAATCGTGCAGCCTACAGAGTAGGTACTTCCCTAGAGGCCTGCAAGAAAAAGTCTACATTAAACAAAAGGCACAAAAGACCTCTTTAAAAAATTCTTTATCTGACAGGACTTACAGAATCATTCCCACTCACCCTCCAGCTCCTGAATCACCTTCCACTTTGGTGGAGATAACATGACCCAAACCCTCATCATAATAAAAATACAAGCTGCTGAAGCAAAGGTGGGTTTTTTTGTTTTTTAATGCTTTCTAAAGTGCAGAGATGAGCCCTGACTGGTTTGGCTCAGTGGATAGAGCGTTGGCCTGCGGACTCAAGGGTCCCAGGTTCGATTCCGGTCAAGGGCATGTACCTTGGTTGCGGGCACATCCCCAGTAGAGAGTGTGCAGGAGGCAGCTGATCGATGTTTCTCTCTCATCG